TTCGGAAAAACGCAGTTGGCAGAGTTACACTGGATGTGCTAGAGATGCTCAAGGAGGAGAAGTCCGACGACGGCGGTGACGATGGCGGCGACGACGGCGACTACTCGGCATTCAGCCACTTTCTTTTTAGATTAGTTATCTATTTTGCTATGTAATGAAAATTCGCGAACATGTCTAATATATGCCCAAGTTTGCCGCAATTTATCGTGTTTAGCCGAACTTTGCCGAACTATGCCGAAATTTGCTATACAAATTTTATTTTTAAACACGCCTGGGGGCGGCCCTGAGGCCGACGGCTGGGGACCAACTCGTCCCCAGGCCCAATTTTTACGCTGGCTCACCCCAGACAGCGATTTTAGACGCCCCTGGGAGGTCAACGGCTGGAGATGCCGACGGTACGGGAACATCCCCTCACGCATCTCTACCTGTGTGTACTGCACTGTATCCATCTATCTACCATGGTAGGTCAAATAATTGAGAGAGGGAGCGTCACGCGTCGGCCGCTCAGTGGCCACCAGCCGCAGTTTCCCTTTTGGGCTTGCGAGCTCACTGCGCTGCGCGCTTCACCCACACCCTCGGACCCCAGTACGATCAATCAACCAAAGAAAAGAAGCACATTGGGGTCCGTCGGCGGCGGACCGGGCACCGGCGCGGCGGCGATCCATGGACATGGGCGAGCTCTTCAACCCAGGTGACCTGCCACCAACTCCCCGTCCATGGGCATTTGTGTTTTTTCCTTGTTTGGGAGACGCCAGCCGCCTTTTTGACACGGTCTGCGGTCGCCGTGCGTGCGTCCATGTCCAGGCTGCGGCGGGGCGGGCGGCGCCGGCTGCGACTGCGGGGACTGCGAGGAGTGGAGGCGCTACTGCTACTGGAACCACGACCACGGCACCAAGCAGTTCCTCCTCTTCGCCTCCCACGACAAAAATCATCTGGTCTGCTCACAACCCCTCCCCCTCCTACTCCTCCTTCGATCCATTCAGTTTCCTCTGTACATTTCTTGCGGCGCCAAGGGTTTAGTTTCAGTTTTTTTTGTTTTTTTGTGGGTGCTCAAGATTTCGCTGACAAAAATGTCAAATTTCATGAAAATGTTGCTGTGTGACGGATGCTAAAATCTGCCTGGTATAAAATTTGTTTCACAACATATGTATGAACAAGAGGCAGCAGGAGGAAGAACACTCTGTACTGCAACATATGTGCCATTTCAAACTGTTTATTGGTCAGTACTGCAAGTGGGAGATTCCAATGCTCCTAGAAAGGGGTTTTCCTGATTATTTGGGGGTGCTCAAAATTTCACTGAAAAAATGCTTAATTTGCTTCTTAGCTATTTTGTGTGCCTGTCGTAGATAACGTATACTCCCTCCGTTCCATATTACCCGTCGCTGATTTGTACTAAATCAGCGACGGGTAATATGGAACGGAGGGAGTACATGACAGAATTGAATTGCTTCAGGATATTTTACTTGGAACAACTGACTCACAACATATGAAGAGGAAGCAGCAAAACAACTAGTCTGCACATGTGTGTTGATACTGCAAGTGAAGCTAGCTACTAGTAGCTCTTGTGATTTAGTACACTACTGCCTGCGTGCGAACCACTTGTGATTTAGTACTGAACGCTGCCGATGCACTACATACCATGAGCCCGCTATTTATAAATTAATTAATCTTCACCAAAAATGACAATTTGGTAATTAAGTCGTCTCATTTAAATGTAAACTTGAACCGTTCAGCCTATAATGTGTGTTCCGGGCATACGAGTCTTTGCTTTGTTTGTTTTCCACATCCTCTGCTACTGCATGCAATCTGAATTGTATGGTCTGCATTTCCTGCATATAGTATGAAACTCAGTGCCCATAAACGCTGAAACCTACTCCCTCCGTCCCATAATGTAAGACGTTTTTTCACACTAGTGTAGTGTCAAAAAACGTCTTACATTATGGGACGGAGAGAGTATATCTGACTCTAACCAAAGTGAATCTTCTGACAGTGCATACCATGGGAGGTCTCAAGCCAGCTGAGAGATATGATCCCTGACTCCGAGCCTATCAAACTTGAAACTCCTGACGGTCGCACGTACAGTGTTAAATTCTTCAAGTTCGGCCGGATAACTCTTACGACTGGGTGGCGGGGCTTTGTGGATGCAAATCACATAGAAGAGAACAACCCCATGTTGTTCGTGTACCGTGGGAATTCAACCTTTAAGGTTCAAATATTCAATTCATCCGGCCGCGACAAGATTTTGCCCTGTTCTCAACCACCTTGCAATCATCATGTGCTGAATGGTAAAGTGGATTAGAGTCTTCAAGTCTTAATGTTTTCTCTATGCTTTTGTGATTTTAATTGTAACATTTTTCTTGATGTGCAGAACAAGTGGTGCCTCATCCTGAACATGTTGATAGCTCAGCCCACTTTGGCTATACCATGTTGCCCGGGAGCTTTGTAACCAAAGCACAAGATGATAAATTGCTAGAATGGGCTAATACCATAGTCTGGATTTCCTCTTTTTGTGGCAGCCAGGGACGAGAGCAATGTCAGCTTGATCGACTGCCATGTTGTAAGTTGCATGATGTTTTCTCAAATCATTTTTTGGTTATGTTAGTTATTCTATTCATGTTGATCAAGATTCTAGTATCTTTTAAACCTTGGCTGTCTCTTGTTTGGCACATGCAGTACATACCACTGAGGCTTGTGGACCAGTTCAAAGAGGTTGTCAAGATAGTAGCCCTTGACAAGAGTATATACGTTGTTGGAGCAAAGAAGCACAATGAGGATCAAATCGTACTCCAATCTGGGTGGGATAGGTTTGTGACTGATCAGTGCATACAACAGAATGACTTCCTCATTTTCATAATTCAGGGGGAAACTCGCCTCAAAGTTCTCGTCCTTGACCCAAGCGGTAGTGAGAAAACTTTTGCCATGGGAAACTCTTCCAATGCCCAAGAAAAGCCACCACTCCCACCTACAGTTACTAACCAGAGTTCTGAGGACAATGAACTTACTGACCAGAGTTCTGACAATGAACTTACTGACCAGAGTTCTGACAATGAACTTACTGACCTTAGTTCTGATGATTATGAAGTCCTGGGAACAGACACTACAACGTCAAGGAGGGAGCAGAGGCCGCTACGAAGCTGTCGTGCAAAAGCTGAGAAGATGGGCTCAACATCCTGCCCTTCTACTAAATCAGATCATAGTATTATAGTTGCCCTGTGCACTTCTTTCCATTTGCCATATTTCAGACTATCGACTTGTGGTTGTCGTATGCTCACCACAAGAAAATATGGCATGTTTTTCAGGACACAAAGCTGGCAACTCGAATGAAGCGATTGGATCTGAATTCCCTGTGTATGTGAAGGTGATGACGGCAGACGGTGTTTCGAAGCCAATACAGCTGGTGAGTTGAGAACTTCAGATAGCACGTGCAATATGCATAGTCCATTTCTCATCCAAAAGCTCGCAAAATTTAGAACCATTTTCTTGCTGAATTAGTCGTCGGCCTGAGAGAGATCCGATCGCCATCTTGACTGATGAGCTCTTCTCTGAACAGTGTTTCTCCATGGAGTATGCTTCGGCTTGTCGTCTCCCGCTCGAACAAACACCTGTCCTACTTAGGCTGGAGGGTAGCGATATGCAGTGGCGTAGCTCACTGATGGTCCAGCAAAGTAATAATGTGAGGCGGATTTCCTCATTCTGGAAGGACATTGTCTCGCAGGCCGGGATGAAGAAGGGAGACATCCTCCTCGTCGAACTGGCAGACAGGAGCAGCAAGAGGCTCAGGATGATCATTGAGCATTTTCCCTAGAAACAACTCATGTGTTACCTAAAGCATGTGTTGGGCAGGATTACAGCAACTTCTCCCGAGTTAATACTGCATATGGAATGTTGGGATTATTTTCTTCAGTGAACCACTGTCTAAACCTCATACTCAGCTATGAATCCCTTTCAGAATGCATATAGTGAACTTGGGAATAAGGGCAAGTATGGGCACGCAAAGAAAAGGTGTTTGTACACATGGTGCTCATCTTAGCTGCATATATTAACTACCCCCTCCGTCCCAAAATATAAAAACGTTTTTCAAGCTATGTTAGCTTGAAAAATGTTCTTATATTATGGGATGGAGGGATTATATACTCAGACGAAAGTTTGGTGATGCACAAGCTACATTACACAGCACGCAGATCCAGTGAAATCTACAACTCTTTACCATTGCAAATCCAATTACAGCGCACGTCCATGTATACAGTGAGTACAAAAGGGTAAAACTGTTACAAAAAAAAAAGGCATCCGCGGCGAAACCGACCTTGCAACCTTCGCCTCTTCCTGCTTCCTATGCCTCAGCGAGAAGCGCATACCAATCTACTGCACCAACAGAGCAGAGTTCCTGCTCCTGTCAGTTGGCGAAGCACCAATGTGTAAGAACCTTCTTCTCTGGAAGGACGCTTCACGGCACCGTGCCGAAACATATAGCAGCAGGCAGTTTCAAGCACAAGAGTTGGGCTTTGCTGTTGACGTGGCGCCCTTGCTGATACATGCAAGTGCAGCTCTCAGAGGTAATATTTTGGCAGTTGGTCTCTATCGTCAATGGTCTCAAGGGCTGGCCTTCAGTTCCTCCTCAATCTGGTCTCAAGGGGATATCCCAATGGACAAGGTCTGAAAAACAATATGCTGAAACAAATTAACATGCAGTAGATGAAACAAAGCACAAATATGCAAAGTCAGCCATGAGAACTACTGAAAACTTTGCGTGGTGAAAAATAGAGGCGTTCATTACTCCCCATCACGACAAACTGGTATTCTAACAATGAGTAAAGAAAAACACGATCAATCCATGCACCTTATGAATGTTGAAGACTCGAGAAGTGGCTTCCCATCTGTAAAACAGCCTCCCGGATCCAGATGGAATCATAAAGCTGTATAATCAGACACAGTAACATAGTCCGCTCTTGTTTCAAGTCTAGAAATTAACCACTTTTGCTTGACTGTAGAGGAGCCACAGGTCATGTTTCTATTCCCAGGTACTCTTCAGCAAAAAGTTCATTGTTTTTTGCAAGCATGTCTGTCAGACTGCAGTCTATGTTTCTACTCTTTATTATCCAAAACCGTGGCTTTATCCTGCCCTCAAGAGAATAGCTGAAGTACCTTGGATATTCCACAACCGCTTTAAGTGGTTTCTTCATGGTTTGCAATAGAAAATCAATCTTTGGTTTCAGAACATGCTCAATACTGTACCCCAGAAGTGGGGAGAATCTAGAGATCATTGAGCAGACATCTTTCTTAGACAAGCCCATCCCCAGGAAGTAATTCATTCTGCAAACATAGCAATTAACACTTACGAATTAAGACATCGTCTTAGCGTATATATTGGACTAGTGAAAATCACATTATTAGACTTCAGATAAGCAGCAAATAGTAAACCAGCTATTGACTACAATGACTTGAGATCATAAACACAGTTGATCCTATCCTGTAAGTAGACATATTTCAAATTCTTTACCAATAGTGATGTGTTGGCGGTAGCTTGCTTAGCCAGTAGTTCTGATAGCAGGTCTTTACATGAGAAGTAACTGGGTTGCCGGAAACTTGAACACACAGTTTTACCTGAGCACAGTTTTTTAATAATTACTAGTTATGTCTCATGTGAAATTATGTGTTTATGTGCAAGGCTAATATGAAGCTTGGCGAAATTTAGGTGAAAATCGTCCATAAAGGCCCTAACTAAATACTCGTAGCTAGATGAGCAATGATGTAATGTCATTTACAAGTTTACAACAGTACACTTATCAACTGCATTGACTTAGACTTGGCAGTAAAACCAATTTTCTTTTTTGTCATACCTTGGTAGCAGTGTGCGATTTATGTCCAACAACAAAAGCTCTGGGTACTTCTTAATGATACGAGGAAGGTGACGCTCAGAAATACCAAAGTCAATAAGAAAGTTGATTTTCTTTTTGAGGGTATTCTCCACATCTGAAGCAAAAATTTCTGGAGAACGACAGACAATCTTTGCCACTGTTATCTTATCAAAACCCATATCTTTAAAAAAGGAAACAACCTGAGACACGAGGCAGGACGATTAGTACCAAGATAGCGAGTTACTGGAAGATATATAAGTAACTTTCAATGACTCAAGATCATCCCCAGATATGGATCACAATGTAACCAAAAGACTTGCTCCGTGGAACAACTACATACTGACAGGAAAGTATGCTATGAACCTAAAAGGACAGACCCAATGCTATGAACCTATATCAACAATTTAGGACTAGAGGTTGGCCACACATCCATGCCTCCTGAATCGTAATCCTAGGAATAATTGGGCAACAATGCAAAATTGCAAAACTCAGAACATAATGATGAAACCTGTTATCAATGTCAACCTAATGGAACATGTAGGATACTGACAAACAAATATCTACTGACAATTGATTGTTGCTTCCCAAAAGAAGAAAAAGAAAGAGCTAAAGCTAAGTAAAGAAGCTTTTCCACTACAAATGGAGTTTATATGGAAAGCAACGCAAACGAACATACATACCTGCAAAAACTCATTAGGTTTTCTCAGCAGCAACTGTGGACTTGATGTAAGAACAGGAACCAACATTTTCTTACTGATGCCCAGATCATCAAACAGCACTAGAATTGAGTTCATTCTTGTTGTTGAACAACCCAGAATGTGAGGCCAACTTTTGACAGCAATGCCAAGAAATGTACTGGAAATCTGAAAGCAAAAACCTGATTTATGAACACTATCGTATCCAATTATGATAGAGTACAAACAAACACAGCATACAACAGATATCTTAAGCCATGCTGGCATAGTAGGATTATTTCCCCCCAGTTACCTTTCTTCTGTTGAAGAACAAAAGGGCCTGCTTGTAGTTTTCTATCACACTTGCAGAAAGAATCCATGGATACTTCAACAACATCCGACCAATATATTCCTGTTCTATGCCAGCCTAGGGAAAAAAGGATAATATTACATTACTACACTTGTTGTCTAGAGAAAAAAATAATATTGCAGGTTCCAAAATCGTTCACAAACATAAGGGTTCAGTTGAGAATCATGTACTTTTAGCATACCTTCTCCCATGCATGAATCCTTGGCTTGATATCCTTTTCGACATCAGAAAGGATAATAGGAGGAAATGCCAGCAGAACTGATGGAATCCTCGGCTTGGGAACTCCAATGTGTTCAAGGAAATCAATTAATGCCTTAAGATGTTTGTCCTCTGAGCAGAGAAGAAGCACTGGAAATGATTCGATGAGATAGGGAAATGACACATCCCCATGTGCCAACATGCTCAGACCACCATGTCTGGCCTCCATCTGCAGTTATATGGTTTGAGAAACATAAAATTTCAAGAGACATTTAACGCCATGAAACTATGAAGAAACAGTGAAATTCTTTTACCAATGGGACACAATAACTGGACTGTGAAACTTACTTTTTCGAAAAATGACAGCGTACTCTGGAGTGCCTCATCTGCGGGTATTGACAAGTGTGCCATCATGCGCTTAGCATTCCGTCCGATTAGAGTTTCATAGCCACTGCTTGAAAACAGCATTTCCTTCAAGAACTTAACCTATGCACGAATAAAAACCGTAAGTAAAGAATGCTGCAACCTACTGAACATATAAGATAGTAAAAAACAGTACTCCCTCCTATAAAGTTGTACTAAAACAGCGACAAGTAATATGGATCGGAGGGAGTACCACATTTGTCGAAAATAAAACATCTGACTCAGTCATAAACTCATAATCCATACAGTCGCAATATCAGACAGAGATGTAATGCCACCATTTACTAGTGTCAACGAAAATTTGCTGCACATTTTCTAATCTGATTAACAGTAAATGGTTAAAATAGTTTGGCATTTTACAAAACAGATGAAGCAATGGGTGGTGTAGTGTCGTCGCGTTTGAGCACGGGGAAATGCAGCGCAAACTGTAAACTCTGTTCTGTTCTAGTAATACAGAGGTGATGTCCTAGATTGGGCAGCGTCCAAGATGGAACTTTTGACTACAGGAACGTATGCCATGGCCACTCACCCTGCGGATGAGCACGGGGAGGCCCTCGGCGGCGACGTAGGGCGCGATGAGCTTCGCGGAGGAGAGGCGCACGCCGAGGCTCTCGACGAGGGGAACGACGGCGCCGTCGCGCCGGCTCCGCCCCATGAAGTACACCTTCCTGCCGAACCCGAGCGCGCCCATCTCGGCGCCGGCGCGCGCGCCCGCCCCGGCGCTCCAGGACGCCCAGAGCCCGAGCTCGTCGAGCTCCCTGACGCCGTCGGCCAGCATGGCGGCGTACCCCGGCGCGCGGGCCGCGATGGCGGCCGCGTCCTCCGGCGACGCGCCGTGGTCCCGCAGCAGCTCAGCCACCGCTGCCTCCGCCTCGCGCGGGTCGCCGCGGGCGGAGGAGAGGGAGCTCGCAGCGTGGGCCGCGGCCGGAGTGGTGGTGGTGACGGGGCGGCGGCGCGGGAGCCGGAGGCCGAGACGGAGAGGCGGGCGGGGCGGGCGCCCGCGGAGTGGAGGGGCCGGGGTGTAGGGGGGTGAGGGAGAGAGGAGCGCGGGAGTGGCAGCGAAGGTGGCCATGGCCATGGCGGAGGCGGAGCTGTTTGGCTTCAGAATTATCTTCTCTCCCTCCCCCTCCGAAGCCTGAACTCGAGGGAACACATTTCAGACGATTTTTTTTTCCAGATAATTTCAGACAAATTTCAAGATCTCAATTTGCAGAATTTCATGAAGATGAGGTCTAGTAGAAAATTTTGCATTTCATGTCATTCTTATTCTGAGTATTTTTTTATTGAAAAATGGTACACACAAGCACTCGCTTTCTTAAAAATTCACAAAAAAAAAGACTCGCCGAAAAGACTATGATTATGCATTCTGAAGATTTGTAGAGCACCTGGAACAATTCAGAAAGTAATATGATTAAATTGTGTTCAGAGAAAAACAAATGTTGCAGTTACGCATGAATGTTTGTCTTACTTTGTGAAGGATATACTTGATCGCAGTTTTGCATGAATTTCTTGCAGGTTAGCCATGTTATATACTATTATCATGCACATATATGATGTTTAGATTAATTTATAAGATGCAGAAATAAATAAGTCGTAAACTCTAACATTCGCGGTTGTGTGTAAAAAATCGACTCCCTTTTGTTCTTCTTCCATTTGTGGAATCTTATGGCATCTCCAAGGGCGTGCATCTGAAGTTATTAGCCGTCTATATTTTGACATGTCGGTGTCACCAAATTATCCGTTGAAAGCGAGACGCTCACATCCACCATTTGCCCCCTCTCCCCATTCGTCCGACAGAAATCAAACATAATTAAGCATACGAAGTTGCCATGCAGCTCAAACATGGTCGGGCGGCCACCATCGGCATCATCTTCGTCCAAGGAGGACCTACCCAGTCGCCATTATGGTCACGGCGGCATCTCCAACTGGTTGCCATTGTGCGTCCACATAGAAGGGCTTTGGCCTTCGCGGCGTTCTTTTTGCTTGTTGGTCCGTGTCACGCTTCGAGACCCTAAAACCCTTCTCCGTCGCGGTTTGGCTGAGTAACCGATGGTGGGGGGCGTCACTTTCCTTCGTGTCTGGGATAAGGTCAGGGGCCATTCGACCGCGAGGTCCTAATTTCGAAGGACCTCTAGCGCCAACATTGGATCACGCAAGGAGGACGTAGTGCAGCGAGACAAGGAGGGTGTCGCAACATCCCCCGGGGAGCGCCATCGCAAGGTGGGGCGGAGGCGTGGACGACAAGCGATGGCATGCCTCTGTCATCGACCACCGTAACGCCTCTTGGAGCACCCCCTCGAGCCGCCCAGAGCTTGGCTCGCTGGGAACGCTCGAATTGGCCATTTCCAGCGAGCTAGGCTGAATTGGGCAAAAAAGTGGGGCATGACGTACACCGTAGTGCAGGGAGAATCGGGTGAGGAGATGGTTGCAGAAGGAAATCAGCGGAGGCGGGATGGCATGAAATCTAGCCTCACCCGCCATTTACTCGGTCACCTCTTGCTTTAGGACAAGCCCTTCATCACTTCTTGGCATCGGCGCTGGCGGCGACTCAAATCTGCGCAAGCGGCGGCGGCATAACTTTTCAGCGACGGGAGCTACTTCTCCCCTTCTTATTGGACTTCATCTGGCCATCCTCATCTCAACCATGACCTCCCCCTCCCGTGCTCTTTGTCGATTTCGAAACTAGTAAGCAACATACAACCCCCATCCTCTGTTAAGTCGTTTGTTAGGACGGTGTAGGATTGATTGCGCCATTGCTGACCACACTATCGATGTTGCCTAGGTTATGGAGGAACGAATGAAGCTGGTAGTTCTGGCAGTAGCACTAATAGTGGTAATTCAGGCCTGGATCATGTTGGTTCACAAGAAAGTTGTTTGTCGGAGTGACAAGCCTATCATTCGCTATGTCCAATGTTAATCTGGAATCAAAAGAGAATATCGAATATGAACTACATGTCAACATCTAGAACTGCAACGACACAGAGGCTCTGTGGATGCTTCGAATGAAAAGAGCACCTTTTGCTAGGCTTGTGCAGACGTTCAGGAGGCAGGGGCTGCTATAAGATATCATTTACACCATTGTGGAAGAGCAAGTTTCTATGTTCCTCCATGTTGTACTACCTTCGTCCTGGTTTAATGGCCCCTTCGCATTTTGTGCTAAATTTTAACCTTAGATTTAACTAACAAAATGTTAATGCATATAACCAAAAATAATATCATTAGAAACTATGTTCAAATATGAATTCAATGATATAATTTTTGGTGACATGCATTATTAGTTTCTTAGTTAAATCTATGGTCAAAATTTGGCTCAAAATACTAAGTGAACCAATAAACCAGAACATATGTAGTAGGTCATAACCAGTGGTTCCGGGTTATCCACAACATGTTCAAGTGATCAATGGAGACCATTGCAGGTATTTCAGGCAAGTGTTGTATGTTGTTGGGGAGCTCAGAGGAGAGATGATCAAGTCACCAACCGAGCAAACTCCAAGCAAGATTTGCACTAGCCCAAAGTGGTATCCATATTTCAAGGTGGGCCCTACCCATAGTTCATCCCTTCACATGCTTGTCATGCCATTTTTACTCATGTGACTGCTAGAGTGCCGAGGTCACATGCCGCAATATACAAGGGTAGAAAGCACTACACAAACTAGAATGTTCTTGATGCGGTTGACTTCGATTTGAAGTTCATGTAGGATCAACCCATGATGCTAACATTATAATTGACAACATGTCTTGTCCTGATGGCATCGATATCCCCAATGGCAAGTTCTACCTAGGAGATGCTAGCTATGCATGCCGGCCTGGTGTTCTTCCACCCTTCAGGAAAACAAGGCACCATCTGAAAGAGTTCTCTGGTAGGAACTATCCTAGGACCGCACATGAATTGTTCAATCTCAGACACTCTAGCCTACGATTTATGGTCCATAGGGCATTTAGAGCTCTGAAGAATAGATTTAAGATCCTGAATCAAAAGTCATTCCACCATTACTCTACCCAAGTTAAGCTTGTTCTTGCATGTTGCATCCTTCACAAGTAGATCCTACATTGGGGTTGTGATGACCTTGTGCCGGAGGAGGAAGAGGTGATGCTTAATGTTGTTGTTAGCTCTGACCATGGTGTGAAGGCATTTTACAATGAAGCCTGAAGGAACAAAAGGATGGAGTGGACTCGGGCAACGTGGGAAAACAGAAGTCAGACAAGGATCTGAAGAAGAATAACAGGCAAAAGAGAAGAGCAGCAATAGAAGAAGAAGAAGAGAAGAAGAAGCAAAACAACAACGGAAGAAGAGGAAGAGGACGAGGATGGACTTCCACCTGATTAGGCATCGATGAAATTTTCCCTATTGAGCCACATGACTCTTCAATTTGTACTGCAAATTTGTTAGTAACTGTGATGATCTATCATTTGTTTCCCTGATGCAACCAGCTTGCATGCATGCAAACAAATGATGTGCAGATGATAGTTTTTTGCATGTTTTACCTCGGCAGACCCGAGTGAGACACGCATGCAAAATGGCAAAAATGGTGCAGGTAACCAAGTCGGTCGGTACATGGTGAGTCATGACCGTGTTAGAGCATCTACAGTCGAGCGCCCTAAAACCGCCCCAGACGCCCCGGCAGGCCGCTCGGTCACTGACCGGTCATAAAATGCCGACTCAGACGGGCTCCTTAATGAAGGAAATATGCCCTAGAGGCAATAATAAAGTTGTTATTTATACTTCCTTATATCATGATAGATGTTTATTATTCATGCTAGAATTATATTAACCGGAAACTTAGTACATGTGTGAATACATAGACAAACAGAGTGTCCCTAGTATGTCTCTACTAGACTAGCTCGTTAATCAAAGATGGTTAAGTTTCCTAACCATAGACATCTGTTGTCATTTGATGAACGGGATCACATCATTAGAGAATGATGTGATGGACAATACCCATCCGTTAGCTTAGCATAAATGATCATTTAGTTTAATTGATATTGCTTTCATCATGACTTATACATGTTCCTTTGACTATGAGATTATGCAACTCCCGAATACCGGAGGAACACCTTGTGTGCTATCAAATGTCACAACGTAAATGGGTGATTATAAAGATGCTCTATAGGTGTCTTCGATGGTGTTTGTTGAGTTGGCATAGATCAATATTAGGATTTGTCACTCCATGTATCAGAGAGGTATCTCTGGGCCCTCTCGATAATGCACATCACTATGAGCCTTGCAAGCAATGTGACTAATGAGTTAGTCGCGGGATGATGCTGTCGGTGTACTAGAACAGGGGTACCCTAGTACCCCGAACTTGTGCACGGGCAGTTGCAGCACCCCGCGACAAGGCTTGCCGGGCGAACGCCAAGATCCCCCAAGGTTCCCTTGGAGCCATCCAAGAACAAAGTATATAAGCTAAGGAGACAAGGCCCCGGCAAGAGGAGCTTGCCAGGAAGGCCAACCAAGGCGCACCAAGGAACTTGCCGCGACGCGCCACGCGCTCCGGCAAGGCGACAAGGCCCCGGCAAGAGGAGCTTGCCGGGAAGACTAAACAAGGTACCTCGAAGCCCGGCGAGTGTCAAGCCTCCGGGCACGACAAGATAACAGCAGCAGCAAGGCGCTTGCCGCGGCAGGCGGCCACTCTGCGCCCACGCTCCAGCGCATCCACCAACGTGTCGCTCTGGGGGCCTCTCCGGGCGCGCGTGGCGGGAGGCTGTGCAGCCAGCGGTGCGCAGTGGCATGCGAAGCTGACAAGATCGCCATCGTGGTGAACGGTGGCGCCCCTGACGGTCCTTTTCTGCACTGTTCGGGCAACTCAGACGGGCATTTAATGCCCTTGTCCCCTGCCGTCAGAGTTAGGTAGGGTGCACTGTACAAGCAACTGTACCAACTACCTCGCTTTTTATGTTTTTACCCTCCTCTGCGTTGCCACCTGTCGGTGACCCCTTTAGCGTATAAAAGGAGGCCCATGCGCAACGTAGAGGGGGTTCGGCCCGAGGTTCGATCACTTCAACTCGTTTGTAAACCAGAAAGAGACCAAGCTCTCTCGAGAGCAAGAACACAAGATAACGTAGCCAGACAAGCAGCAA